ACAGAGACACAGACACACAGACACACACACACACACAGACACAGACACACACAGACAGACACAGACACAGACACACACACAGACACAGACACACACAGTCAGTTATCAGGTTCAACAATCAGGGCAGTTCAGCAGGTCTGTACACGATTAATTTCATGCGTTTTACCCTGTAACTGTGGTGTCTTGTAGTCGTCGAGCTTGTTCCATTTTCTACCCTGCATTATAAAAACACACACACATTATATGCCGTTTTTGGAAACAAATAAATGTGTAAATAAACAATAATATAGAGAAATTAAAGCACAAAATGTGAGTGAATTTGTGGAGAAATGAGCAAACAAACAGTGACTGAAAAAAAATAGGCAACTAAATATACAGTGAATGTTTTGTGGTTCAATTAGTATAATAATAAATAGTAAGAAATAATTATTAATCCCTAAATTAGTTATTATGTGTCTGTATATCAACGTTCACTCAAATCTAATCTTAAGGGCCATTTTATTAATGATTTAAAGTTCCAACCACACATTAAGATTTCTTCAGTCTTCCTCTGAACGAATGATTAATTGATGATTAATTAAATGAAACTGTTTTGGAGGAAGTCGAGTCGTTTCCCCACCAGAGCGCCTCGCCGGCGTCCAGGTCGGACTCGTCGCTGCTGCCACAGACGGGCATGCTGTCGTCGCTCAGGACATCAGAGGGTCGACTCATCCGCTGGCACGGACCCAGAAAGCTGCGCTCGACTTTAAACACGCCGTCGTACAGCAGCTCGTACACGATGGCTGCGAGAGACAAACACAGAGACACAACTCAGTCTAATCGACATATTTTGGTCAAAATTGAGTTAAAGCTCCATAAAAAACTGATTTTTAAGTTGCAGTCGCTACAAAACTGACCTAAAAACACACTCACCGCTTGTGTGATAGAAACTAAAGCTAAGGTTAATAACAGGTTTTCTCCTCGTTGATACATTGAGTTTGTTGTTATTCTACATCATTAAATGAGGCAGCAGCTAATTCAGTTCAGGATGGGGAAGAAAACAAACTAAACTCCTCCTAAATAAACAAACTTAGCATAAAGATAACTCATTTTATTTATTTAAGTCTAGTGAATTTCATGTGATTTGGTCGTTTTTGGGTGGAAACAGAAATACTTTAAGTTATTAACTGTAAGCAATCAAACAAAAGTTCATTTCCTTAAAACAAACTACTTATAATGGATAAAGTTTAAGTATTCAGTGATCCTCTAAAGGCAGAGTGAGAGAGTCTGCTGCTGTAGTTACTGCTCTCTGCCTCTGTGGGGCAGCATTGTCTATGTCATTTTATACTGGAATATCTTCTTACGCCATAAAGCAGTCCTTACTATCCATACAGCTAGAACCAGATATCAAAGCAACAGCTGCTACAGAGTGTGACAACATTTCTGATGGTTGACAAACATCTACCGTCTCACTGTATGTCGACATATCACCAAACTCTGGCAGAGATTTCAAAATCTGCCGGCAGCATCGCAGTTAAACACATTTAACACTTAAACTGGGACAAAACTACACTATTAAAGTGCTTTTTACAAGTATTTTTAAAGCGTTTTTATTGGTTTGTAAGGTGTAAGGATTAAGTTAACATTTTGTAAATATCTCTACATAGATAATATTGTACTGTACTAAAATCCACTCAGAATCCAGGTAATATTTGGCTGCTGCTGTCAGATTGAGGTGATTCTGCTGTGACTTTAGGGTCCAGAGCCTCAGATTGAGAAACGTTTGTGCGCAGACACTCACACTGGCAGAGAGCGGCGCTCTGAATGTGGGTGATGGGATAAACGCTGTCGTAGTGATTCCCGTTCAGGAAACACAACCGCACCTGAGAGAGACACAAACGTTGTTAGAGCCGTTAAAGGTCAGCGTGACGGAGCTCCTGTCGGGAATTTAAAGTGCAAAGAAAGAAAACAAATGACTGAAACCTGCAAAAATGTATCATTACGGGACCTTTTCAGTCAGGTTTTAAGAAAAAGAGACACAAATTCACTTGTTCCAGCTTCTCAAATGTCAGAATGTACTGCTTTTAGTTGTTCTGCATTATAAAAAACTGAATATTGTTGGATTTTGGACAGTTTTTTGTCCATTTTTCACAATGATAATAAAGCAAATACATACAAAATAACTGAATAGAAAAATAACTAAACTAAATAAATAAAGAGAATCCCTCTCAGTCCTCATTTATGTTCTCTGCCTGTATTTTCCTATTATTTTGTGGCCATGTTAGCCGCCGTGAAACAACCGGGAAATAAAGTTTCACTCCTCTGATTCACTGCTTTGTTCCCGTTAACGCCGCTCCCTACTCATACCGCCCTGAGAGAGGGAAACACTTCATACAAAGTTTGGGATCCCAACAGAAAGACAGGAAAGGTTAAAGTCGAATTCGGTGTGTGTGTGTGTGTGTTCAGTCTCACCTTGTCCTTGAAGTTGTTGTCTGTGATGTTGACGGCTGGTTTGCCGGGCTCCTGGAAGATCAGAAAATCCCTCCTGCAGGAAGACAAAGAGACGAACGGAGAGAGAGAGAGAGAGAG